ACTGTAGTATCTTATCGTTGCCCTGCGCGTTTGCGCTGACAAAATTGATATTCCCACAATCGAATGCGTTCTTTTAATGGAAATCATAAAGTATGGGGTTGACCTAGACACGACTTGCACTAATTACCGCCAGTGAGTCTTCCAATACCTTCCAAACACCTAAAAATACCTAATTAAAGTTTGGTAACGTCTCAGTTTGTACTCGTTGTTCAAAGTCGCCATCTTTGTTTATGTGAGACCCATATATCTCACGCATGCTAGTACAGTTGCAGATAGGGATATGCAACTAGTGCTATAATTTTGTTGTCTGACAAGGTATATGACCAAATAATAAAGTCATCATATATGGTTTTTATTTCATTAAATATTTATAGTGGTTAAACCAAAGCTACATGGACCCCCCCCCGCCCCGCCCAATCATAGCTGACAATTATACTGTATTTTTAAATGGTGTATATACTTTATTTGAAGCACATGTTCTTACTGTGAACATAAATGACAAGGACAAGTCTATGGTCAAAATAAGACATATTTCAATGTTTTTGCATGCAATAAACACAATTTTTGATTTATGTTGTAATGAAATGTGAATATAGTAAATACAATATTCCTTATTGAAGGGGGCAAGGGGGATAGCTGGTACAGGTTACAGAAAATAAATGCATTTTACGTTTTCACAAAAAATAAAATGGAAAGTTCCATTTATAGTAAAAAATAGCTTTTTACACTTAAAGCAAATTCCTAATTACATTTTACATTTTTATAATATACATGATAATTTGTGTTTAAGAATAAAAATTTGAAATTGTGCACGAATTACGGCAATTAACTTGGAAAATGCTTTATACGCTTACAAAAAATAAGATCTTTGTACAAATTACGGACGAACAAAATAGCTGATTACATTTTACAACTTGCCCATGTCTACGAATTTACGTTTTTTTATTTATTTAAATTACATTATTACGAAAATAAAAACAATTGCTTACAGCTTACAGAAATACCCCTTGCCAACCCTCGTTATGTACTCCATGCCTCCAATACGTTCAGCACAGAGTTCTTTTCAAGCTTTCTTTGATTCTTAAATGAAATTCGAACGCGTGCTATGGGGCTGTACATAGAATAATAAAATACACCTTTTTATAAATCGACTTTTTTGCAGAACTTCTGGATGAGTTAAAACAAAAACCCTGAGAGATGCTGCTGTTTAGTTTCTAAACTTTCTTAGATTCAAGTATTTTTGTGCCAGGCGACAGTTTCAGACATTGAATGTCACAGTTGTCTTTTTTCATGTTCAAATTGCAAGATTGAATGTCATGTTGGGGACTGTGTGTAAATCTTATCATTATGGTAATAGTGCTATCATGGTGTCAAACAGGCCTAGTTGAACACAAACACGTGCGGACGTTAACCAAATTTCCCTCAAAGTCGCATCCATGGGTGAATGAATCTCAACCAGTGGATATATAACCTCAATTGAGTATGTGGTACTCTCACCCGTGATCAGAGGTTTTAACTCTCATCTATGTATTATTTCGATTAAACTTGGTACATAGGTTTCTCCCCCAGGGTTGAAATCTGTTGATATACCTGAGTTTTGTCAATTACGCAAAATTTAGCTGTTTTACAGAGGTTCCATAACCAATCATATTTCAATGAAATTTAGTGCATAGATATGCTAGAAACACACATTTTTCTTTCAGCGTTAATAATCAATAATAGGGATCAATAATCATTTCACATTGTACATATCAAAGAGCATAGATTCATTAGCTGATAGGCGTTCTACATTTTAATTAATTTTAAATATTCCCTAGAATTACTTCCTGTCTCCAAAACCCACACAGGTTGTTTCTGAGCTTTAGTAGTTATTTGCATCTTTTAGCAACCAATAAATTGAATATAGTGGACTGCAGAAATGGCAAATTGTTAAATGGTATGTTTAATAAATGAGCTGTCTTGTACATTGTCCAAGAGAGAAACAGAAAATAGGATGTTTGCCCCAGACAATAGTTTTACTTTGTGTGATCTTGTTTGTGATTGACTATAGTACTGTTTCAAACCTGGATGCACATCCAGATCGACCCATACTGTTTTCATGCTAAAGAAAGTGATTTGTGAAGTGTGCTTCTGAACTTCTTAGGTTGAAATGAAAGATGGCCAACGATACTTTTTCTTCTTACCATAGGTATGAGTTGTACATGTACTCAAACACGGTGTGTACGCTGTAGTTACCATGCGATGACAAGTCTAGGACGACATGAATGAATAAGTCTGGTCCTGAGAGTTACGCGTACTACTACTGCCGGCTATGACCACGTGCACGTCCAGGCATGTGGAGATAGAGCCACAGAACATAATCTGAATGTAATACATAATAAAAGCGAGCCTGTTTTGTATGTGATCTTTCCTATATCACGCTGCACAAATATCACACTCTCTTGAACCGAAAAATAACATTCACCCAGGCGTTAGGACTGTGTATAGAATAATAAAATGCACCTTTTTTCAAATTGCCCTTTTCTCAGTACTCAGTGAAAGGTCGTTGTTAGGTTTGTTACTTTCTAAACCACCTAATGAAAGGGACAGACTACGCACGACGTACGTTATACCACGGTTTCTAGTAACCATGGTTATATCAAGTGTTGGCTTGAAAGTACTAAATTGTCGCTTTGAACAACATTAATTTCATATATTTACGCCATCCCAAGAAATGCGCTTTATATAGGCACAGTTCCTCATTTGTGGAGGGACTGTGATATAGGGCACGACTATATGAGAATGTACGATACATCACCCCCCCCCCCCAGCGAGTGACTGTGACCTAAAAATCTATTCTTGGGGGGGGGGTGACGAAATGTACGGCCAGACCCAGTCATGCCTCCATAAATATACGTTGTCATCCATGTTTGGCTCTGTTCTTTAATTCGAGTTTTCTTTGTCACGGTTATCGATATACATACACGGTATACACGGAACAAGCCGTACACCTTGTCGCGGGTGCGAGTAATATATCAGGGGAGAAATTCTTCTCTCTGGGGTTCTTCACACATGCCAGGGGGGGGGGAATCTCGTCTCGTCTCTACTAGTATATCTCGTCCCCTTGAGGTACGGGATCAGGAAAGTCACTTAAGCTTTACAGTCAAATAAGACACACACAACGAAATACGTTTCAGCTCTCGTCTTAGTCGGTCAATCGAGCACTCTATAAAACACAGCGTCCTGGGGAAAAGTCCCCAAGACTATCGCATGACTGAACCAAGACTCGCCCAAGACTCTCCGGGACTGGACTCTCGACTCTCCAGGACTGCCTTAGACTGCGTCTATCGTGCTGTACTCCCCAAGACCAACTAAAACAACTTTATTCATTTTCAAAACATTAACCAATTACAAAGCAGTAAAAAGACTCTAAGGCGTAACCTTCAATCATAAAGCCAATCACACTAAGTACTGAATACGTCATATCTTTTGATTAATCGTTCACTACATTAATAACTACGTATACCAACTGTCAGAAAGAGTAGTCCGAATAGCGACGGTTATCTCGTAATTGGTTCCAAATTACTGAGCCAAATTCCGTCCAAAACTTCAAATAGGCCTAAACGATGACAGACATAACACAGCTATTCGCTAATAATCAGCTAATTAATGAGTCGGTCAACAGATACGCGTAAACTAATTCATGACAAATATACGGGAATTACCCTCGCTAAATAAAAAGGTACAATGCAACTAGTGGCGACACGGGGGGAGGGGCTCTACTGAGAATGATTATCGGGTAGAAGTGAACTTCAACAGGAAAAGTATATAAATATATATGTATATAATGCATACATGCGTAAATACACAAAAACGTAATTATTACTGATTATTACATTAATTATTTAAATATGACACTAATCTTTCGTATTTGTTTGTGAATTTAACGTCTTGCAGCTTACACATTCCCAAAACTTGTATCACATTTTCATATAATACCCGGATCGTATGAATTTAAATATTGACGTACTTCCTGGCTTGTCACCTTTGCGGTGGACGCCTGAAGCGATCCAGCAAATGAAACGACCGCGCTGTTCACTACTGAAGTAATAGTGAGAAATCCGAGTCAAATAAAACATTTACAGACCAGATTATGTTTTGCGGGGGCTAGTGGCGTTTTAAAATACAAATTAAAGTTTTAAATAAAGCGTGTACAAAAGACTATGTGTGCTCACGGTGGGACCTGCGGGATTTCGTAAAAAAAAGGGAAAATGCAAATAAAAAATGTTGCCAGCAAGTATTCGCAAAAAAAAATCGACCAAACTCAGATTCCAAATTAGTAACGGTCTACACTAACCCTATAATTATACCCTCATAGTTTGTGGTGTTTTTTCGCTTATAAATTCGCACTACATTCATAAAATTCAGACACTTGTCATTTAACTTTCCGCATACTTACAACTTTAATATTGAAAGTAAAATGAATGTCCATCAGTTGGTTCGTCATTACACGTAAGTCGATTTGTGATATTAGAATATGAGTTCCAGTTTACTTCAAAAAACAAATTCTTCTAAGCACACTTTATTTTTCTACAAACAGGTAACAGGTAATTTTGCGAATTTTGCTCGAACAATACACGTATGTTTCCCGTGGACGTACACATCCCATTCTAAGTAGCAATGGGGCAACTAAAGATACGTAAATATTCTTCTGTGAAGAACGTCCAGTAGTCTGATTACTCTTCATGCGTCACTGCACACCTTCCCAGTGTGCATTGCGCGGAAGGTTTGTACGTCATATCTATTTTCAGATTTCATAATAAAAAATAATTGGAAGAGATTTATTTGTTTGTTGATAAGCACAAGTGATTCGTGAAACTTTGAACTCTATTTTTACGAAATAACGCTAACATTATTGTCTATGGACTGCTGGTATTAGTAACACAACAATACGGGTGTTAGAGTTATTGATTAGCTGTTGTTTGTCCTCTCACTTAATAGTCTCGCACTAAACGAGAGTTCGCCCGTGGCGCGAGGGCGCACTAATTAACATACAAGAAAGCATAGTTGAGCGTCTGTGCGTCTCACTCAAGTCGAAAATTGTATTTTGTCATCGGATTTTATCTATTTTATGGAGTACAGCTGAACTATGTCACAATGTATAATCCTCCTATGCAACCTATGCCTATAGGTAAGTGTTTCTACAATATATTATACGTTGAATTTACATGAAATAGGTTGAAAAATAGGATCATACTTCGGCGTTCTGAGTCAGTGGTCGACTTCGTTGTGTGCCGTTTACACTTGAACACATCGTACGGTGCTGATTAAAAATACTGTACTGTTTATTTTGTTGTTTATAACAATACTTGTATACATATTGTCAGCAATATACTAGTATACCTTGACTCTTCTCGGTTATCGGTCTGTACCCGATTTGTATTTACGTTGCGATTAAAGCGGCGTTTGTTTTGTTGAGGTCTATCGACTTAACGGACAAATATGACCTCGCTGTCGTCATGATTCCTGAAAGGGAACTCTGTGTACACTTACTACTAATATGTGGAAATCTTGGTCGCTTCTATTCTGAACTGAATACTTATAATCAGAAAACATAGAATACCGTAAGTCTCGTGGTTAATTGCGTTAGCATTGTAGCCTTAAGTGAGAACAACATTTTTTTGTTTGTTGAGGGAAACCCTATTGTTTTGAAACGGGTTTCGACAAGAAGGTATTAGCTGTATACCATATCGGAGCCTGGGAATTGCTATCCTTGGGTGATAACTAATTTCTTATTTTCAATGTATGATTAATTTTTATTACAATTGCCGATACATATAGCATACAACATTTAGTATTTTCAATTTCTATGTACATAATAGTTTTTGCAGCATATATACGTTTAGTGAAAATACGTTTGCTGTCCATGTCTGTGATCATTGTTGTTTAGTAATATTTAATTCCTAATAGACCAAAGATGACAAAAAAAAAAAAAAAACCTAGCATGGTATAAAATAGTTTGATTGTCTTTTGTATGCAGAATATTGTTGTATATTTGGTGGAATGTTTCACTTTTTAGATTAGGAGATAGTGATATAGATGTATTACCGGTACCAGGATATGAACTCACAGCCCTATGAACTTTTACTTCCAAGCAGTGGAGGATCCGTTTCTAAATTAGAAAAGTATTGGCTGCAAACATATGTCTTTTATGATTCAGGCCTTGACCTTGACCAGATAGTAGCAACCAAAAAATTGAATGTTGAAGAATAGAGCTGTATAATATATTTTGCATTACCCCGTGTTCATTTTCACACTGGTGTATCAGGGTATCAGGATAGAGGTTACCCTGCATAAACCAGAGTCAGGAACTAAAATAATAATGGCACACTATCTTATTGCAAGACATGATCCTACAAATACAAACAAGGACTGTAACTATTTCTTTTTAGCATTCACGGTGTACTGTAAAATCTGTATTAGAAGCTGCAACTTCTATTAAAATGATACAATGCAATAGATAGGATGTGGCTTCTATTAGGGATGTGGCTTCTAATACAGATAAATAAATAAGTATATTGTGTCTGTAACTTACATGTTATGAGAAATTAAAGCAAGAGAGTTGTCACCTGTGCATGCGACAGACTGCCCTAACATGTCGTTGTTTACAAACAAACATCTACTCATGAGCCTTTGCGTTTTTACATGCATTGTTTTTGTCGTTTGGGACTCAAATTCTGTTTGTGTGCAGGTGATGATCCTTTCGCTTTAGAATAAATACGCTGTGTTTGTAATGTACAAATATGAAATTATGAGCAAATTAAAATAAATACTCTGTGCTTGTAACGCAAGAGTTATAAGGAAATAAATATAATTATGTTTATAATGTAAAATTTATCAATAAATAATAAATATAAATAAACCATGCTTGTAGCTTACTATGTATTAGTAAGTGAATATAAATTATATTTTTTGTAGTCAGGGATTGTGGATCAGCCTTGATAAAGTTGATTATAAGAGCTGTTTTTATTTGTATGTTTATGTCTTGCTACAAGACAGTGGGTAATTTTTATTGCACACCTAAAGACTTTCATAGCCTGATAACTAATTAGTATATGACAATCTGATATTGTGCAAACCTACTAGTTGTCTTGAACCCTTGGTACTCGTCATTATGCAACAAATCATAATACCAAGATCACTAGATTTAACTTAATAATAATATTAGTACCTAATATTATTTTCCTGTAATAACAAACACAATATGGAAAGAGTGTTGGTCAACAAAGTAAACCTTGTTTGGAACAAAGTCTTTGGTGTAAAGTGTTAAATTGTTTTTTAATGATAAAAGTGTTCAAACTTGTTTATTTCTAAGACTGTTAACAGTAAATTACCCCTGAATGCTTTTTTGTTTAGCATAATGATTGAATAGCTAGCATCTGTGAACTTGTCTTTTGTTGTTTTCCTTGTTGTCTCAAGCACTAGTACTGTCCTTGCTTACTATTGCAGACGAAAAGTGAGACGCCTGTAAACAATTTAATAAACACTGCTTTTGTAATTAATGCCTTGTGTACAGTTTGAATTGCAGATTATTATTCTTGTCCAATTATTACAATATCTCCATTGTCTCCTCGTGCTAATCTTTGTGACAAAATGTTTGTGAATTCATGTATGTAGCAAATAAATGTACAATGTCCATCAATTTCTCGTGACAACAGTTCTCCAGGGATAGTGGCTTAAGGCTTCTTCAATTTTGTAGCATTACGACTGTTTCAAATTCATTACTTTTCTTATACAGATTGAAGTGAGTCATTTACTTTATTTGTTTCCAGTTTGACACTATCACTGCCTCTCTTAGTAATTCATTCCATTTGAGATATTATTTTTGTTTTATTCCATCTCATTGACATGATTGTCATTGCAGCCAACAACAACTTTGACTGCTGTCCAAAATGACCACATATAACAATCTATATAATATAAATGCTTTCAATAATGTATTTCTTTGATATGTTTTTTTTTTTACAGTGCCTCCAACTCCAACCCAAGGTCTTGCGCCCGGAACTGGTCCTCCAGGAGCCACACAAGAAGCAACACAACCAAGGCCACCTCAGCCATCACAACAACCATCTAGAACTTTTTTGTGTCCTCGCCGACCTAATCATGGAGTTGAAGGCAGGCCCATTTTACTTCGAGCTAATCACTTCCAAATACGAATGCCTCATGGTGACATACAACATTATGACATCACAATCGTACCTGATAAATGCCCTAGAAGAGTCAACAGGTTAGTATTTTATCCTTTCTACCATTTTTACTCTGTTTAACCTTTTCACCTGAACTTTTTTCTTATATTATTCAATATTTCTGGAAATGAACCATAATTTTGGAGCCAACAGACAATATTTAAGTCAATTTTCAGTTTTTACTCAAAAAATTTGCTATCTTTGTTCTAATCTTCTAAAGGAAAGTGAAGACTACAAACGGAACTATTTTGTGACTTTGTGATAAAAAGAGGGAACTGGTGGTGAAAAGGTTAACAATAGCCCAAGACACATAGACTACAAACTCGTATTGTCCTAGGGCTACCAATTTCTAAATTTAGTAGCCCAACAGGCTGCTACAAATTTACAATATATTGACACTGTCTTTACATTATTTTTTTTAACCAGTTTGTCCTTAAAGTTATGGATGTTAAACATAAATGCAGCAACGTGACATTTATTTGATCCCACACTTGTTGGCATCTATGTTAATTTTAACATCACTGTCTGTATCATTCTGTTAAGTGTGATTTACATATTATTCTACTCACATTTACAATTTTGTTATTGTGAGTGACTTTAATTATTATTATTCTGACTGTATTTTATCATGTAAATAGCTGTATTATACTGTAGACAACTTTATTTACCTGATAAAAATCACAGAATTCATAGCAGTTGCTATTTTGATAGTTTACAGCAGGGGTTTTTCTAGAAAAAATTAACAAGAGGGAGCTAACACAGGCGAGGGAGCAGAGCGACCAACTGGGAGGATATATCGGAAGATTTCTGCGCCATTTTTAATGGTGTATCTATCAATTTTAGTGTAATTTTAGTGTATTTGGTGTTCAGACACAGTGTCAGCTGGTGCTGCTTGGAAGTTTTCTCGGAGAAAAATATATTTGAGAAAGATTTCATGTTGTACAGCAGCACGGCTCAAGAAATATATTTATGACTTGAAAGTTCAATCGTCAATTTGGGAGGGAGTACCCTGTATCCTTTTAATGTACAGTATTCCATTTGTTTAGGTAGTATCATCTATTCCTGATGAAGTCTCTAATTGTGTCCACACAATTCTACATTACCAAATATATTATTGCACTCTGTATTTGATGAATTGTATAGCTATATAGAGAAGTCTGTAAATCAACCTCCATGGATTCAATTTATTTCAGAGAAATTATTGATACCATGGTGACAGCCTATTCTTCAAAGATATTCAATAATGGCAAACCGGTTTTTGATGGGCGTAAAAATTTATATAGTCGTGATCCACTGCCTATAGGTAGAGAAAAGGTATGTATTAAATGCATTTTTATTGGTTTATTGTTCTGTAGATATATTTTGAAAAGAAAGTTATTGTTCTTTTATTGCTGTTGAGGTATAGAAATGTTTTAAGATTGCATACAGTGAATTTTATGTTTAAAAATTTGTGGCTTCATAGATGTACATTAACAAAATATTAGAAATAGAATTACCTTAATATTTCTTGCACCAAGAGTTGAAATTTGTGGAGGCTATTATGCTGGATGTCCACCTCTGACTGTTATAGTGTTTCAGAATAATATTTTTTTCTAGAAGTTATCACAATATAGATACCCTGTATATTCTCATATATTATGAATAATACATTAGTACTATAAGACATTGGTGACGTTGTTATCTTGATTTAGTTATCTGTTGTGATAATGACCTTTTACCATTCATTTTACCTGTAAGCAGTTACATGCATTACCTTAATGTTATTTGATTTCAAATCAAGATTAATCTGCCTACCCATGCAAGTAATCATGTCTTCACTGTATTTTCACTCCCTTGACAAAGATCAATGTGAATGCATCAAAGAATTGCATTGTGGGTCATGCTATATGCTTACATAAATTAATCAAATTTTTCTATGGTCAGAAGTACTATTTTAATGTCTTAAGTAGTTTACAGTCGAAGCAATTTTTGGTTTATGTGCTTCTACCGTAATAGAGCAAATACCGTATGTAATCAGCTTCTTAGTGGTCTTGAATATTTATTTTGTTCAATTTTATTTGTAGCATACATATAGACCATTTGGCCTGCCATATTAACAGTTTAAGACGAGTTTGGAGTTATAATGTCATCAGTTGTTTTCTGTTCGAGAATGGGGGGTTGGGGGTTGATTTTTTGCTCGCACAATTTATCCCGGGGTTGCCGTATTTTGGTTAGCTATCAGATGCACACTCTGCGAAATTAACCCCCTACGCAGACAAAAGTGGAACATTTTTACACCAGTGGAACTTGAAACTTGTCTATTGACACTTCATTGTTTTGTTAGTATGGCATGGATTAACACAAACTGCTGCCCTTACGATTGATAACTAGTGTAACGTTTCAATATTAGACACAATATTATTGCTACCGGTGTTGATATATCATATTTAGTATCTTGAAAATTGAATCATCCAAGTAGCTCACTAAATTATCAAATTTGGTTTGCATCTTGATTAAATTATTTGCTGCATTTATTTCTATGGTGTGAAAAAAATTCCATTACTCAATTATTATCACATGTTATTTTTGACGCTATGCCCCAAGGCTTCAAAAATGAACCATTATTTTACACACATTGATCCTGTGTTCCTTTGTATTACTAAACTCAGCTTTGACAATCTCCACTGTTTATTCTGGTTGTAATTATAGGTGGAGTTGGAAGTAACTCTACCGGGAGAAGGGAAAGACAGAGTCTTCAAAGTAGCTATTAAATGGGTTGCTAGTGTGAGTTTGTTTGCACTGGAACAAGCCTTAGAAGGCAGAATACAGACAATTCCATTCGAAGCCATCCAGGCTTTGGATGTTGTCATGAGACACTTACCATCCATGACGTAAGTACTATTATCCCTCAATTATGAGACAGTCAATGTTGTGTTAAAAGTGGTCACATGACTGTGTAATGAATATTGGTATTGACTTCATATTATGAATTACTAGCTTCTGTTGTCATAAAATTCAAGAATTTAGATTAGTTAGACATTAAAAGGATACATAGGTGACCGATGAGACCTCGGCTAAAGCCAATATCAATAATTATTAGCCCCAAGTTTCTGTTATTGACCAATACTAGTCCTAAAGTGTTTCAACTGATGTTATTTTGACCATTGTTTAGAAAATCTTTTGAGGAGGGAGGTGCGCTCAATTGAGCATCATCCCCATAAGTTCGCTTTTAGTTGGTCAAATATGTTGTTTTCCTAAATTCACCTGTAACTAAATCTACAATTTTTCTTTTCAGTTACACACCAGTAGGTCGCTCATTTTTCTCTGCACCAGAGGGATATTACCATCCTTTGGGTGGTGGTCGTGAAGTATGGTTTGGCTTCCATCAGAGTGTCAGACCTTCCATGTGGAAAATGATGCTGAATATTGATGGTAAGTTATTGTTGTTACGTTTGTGGGGAAAGGGACACCTGCTGAAAACTATGTAACCACATGTTTCATGTTTTTAGTCCCCGTTCAGGCGCAGCCTGAAAAGGGG